ATTTTTTAAAGTAACTTTTTATGTGCATGAGTGTTTTGCCTGTTTGTATGTTAAAGGCACCATGTTCATGCCTGGTGTCCATGGAGACGCACAGAGGGCTTCAGATCTCATGGAACTGGAGTTACAGGCTGTAGTGAGCTTCTGTGTGGATGCTGGGAACCAAACTCAGTTCCTCTTCAAGAGCAGCCAGTGCTCCTAATCTCTGAGCTCTCTTCCCAGCCCTCACATCTCACTTTATTTTTTTTTTTTTTTGGTTTTTATGAGACAGGGTTTCTCTGTATTGTTTTGGAGGCTATCGGTCCAGCCCGGCCTCGAACTCACAGAGATCCGCCTGCCTCTGCCTCCCGAGTGTTGGGATTAAAGGCGTACGCCACCACCGCCTGGCCTCACATCTCACTTTTACGTTAGAAATATGCTGAATTTTGTTAGCCTGTTTCCGTAAATTGTACTTGGTCTTGGTATATTTTATTCAAATGTGCTGGTAAATAGTATTTTGAGTCTTTTCGACATTTATTCACAAATGAGTTGAGTATGATTTTTTTCTTAATGCTTATTCTGTTTGGTGCCAGTGTTACATTGATTATTGTTTAAAAAATGGGGCAACATCTTCCCTTCCCCTGTTCCTAAACTTTAAGGATGTTGGTGCTGGCTGCTCTTTAGAAGTTAAATAGAAAGTACCTGTGAGAAACACAGTACTAAGAACCCTTCGGGGTGGCCACGGTGCTTCTCTAGGTGTTCCCTAGGCGGGGAGAAGGGGGGAGGGAGGGAAGGAAGGAGGGAGGGAGGGAGGGAGGGAGGGAGGGAGGGAGGGAGGGAGGGAGGGAGGGAGGGGAAGAACCAATTAGTGTGTTCACTCTGGTGACAAAAATCCCTGACAATAAACTTAAGTGGGGAAGTCTTCGGTCCTGCTTACAGTTGGAGGGAATTTGCTGTCATGGCAAGCGTGGTGGCGGTGCTGGAGACACCCAGTGGCACTCCATCCACAGTCAGGAAGTGGAGCACATTAACTAGGAGGAGGCTTTCTCCTTCTTTAAACAGTACAACACCCAACCAGCTTTGCCCTTTTCTTATGCACTGCAACACTGATACTCAGGAAGGGCACCGCCCACTTAAACATCACAAGTACCATGAGCCCTCACAAGTATGCTGGAAGCTAACCCAAGCTAGATAGTCCCTCCCAGGTGTGTCCAGAGGTTTGCCTTAGGTGATCCTAGAGCCCATCAAATTGATAATCAGTTTTAACCACTGTAACAAGTGAGTGTGTGCGTGCGTGTGAGGCCAGAGGACAAATCCAGCCTCAGTCACTTACCACATTGTTGTTGTTGGAGATCGGGTCTCAGTATGTAGTCTTGGCTGGCCTAGAACTTCCTATACAGACCAGGATGAACTCACAGAGATCCTCCTGCCTCTGCCTCCTGAGTGCTGAGACACCATGCCAGGTCTACCTTTTTGTCTGAGACCACGTTTCTCCCTGAATGCAGACCTCATTGTTCAGCTTTGACTGGCTGGCCAGCAAACCCAGGGATCCCCCCAGCTCTGCCTCCCCAGGGCTGAAATTGCAGTCACAGGTGGATTCTGGGGATCTGAAATCGGGTCTTCACTTTCGCACCATTAGTGCTTTACCCACCGAGCCATCTCTCTGCTATAGACAGGCTTAATGTCAAACAGCAGATCCACTATCCAGACATTTATATAAAGTGAGCCAGGTGGCCTCTGGTCTGCATTTTAGTTACCCCTTCCTTCTTGTGCCTGTTTTCTCCCCCCTTTCCTGAATAATCTAGTAAATGATTTCTCTGGTTCACTTTTCGGCAGAGACCCAGCTCTGGGGGTTTTCTTTGGATCCTCTGCTTCTTAAACTATAAAATTATCATTTATCCATATTCTGTTTTGATCTTTTTGGTGGTAGTGTTCACGCTTGCAGTACTGATTATGGAAGCAGAGTTCTGCACACACTGAACACACGCTCTGTCCACAGTCCCTTTTAACTTCACAGGGCAGGGTCTTATTAAATTGTCCAGGCTGGCCTTGAGCTCACTCTGTAGCCAAGGTGGACCTTGAACTTGTGATCCTTCTGCCTCAGCCTCCATAGTAGCTGGGATTATTCTGTGGGCTTTTGTTTGTTTGCTTAAATTGATTTATATTAGTCCATCTTAAGCATGTTAAAATTACTTCATTCTTACTATTGTATTTTGGGATTCTAAATGTTTCTTCAGACACCCTATATATCTCTATGTCTCTTCCTCTCCATTATTTTCTTCACTATCTGCAGTTTGGGTTATAGTTTTTTTTCCCTTTGGACTGGGAAATTCAGACGTTTGCACATGACAAGCTTATTTATTCTCTAGCTTTCATTTAAAAAAAGTTTGCAGACAAAATCCCACCATATTCTACTGTCCTGACTGTGATCCACCCGCTCTGATGCCGGTGAGCATTTGCCTTGCTTCTACCTTAGCAGTAACACAAAGCGAATTGACACAACATTCCTGATGTCGTTTTACAACATCTATTCAGATTTCTTTCCAGTATATTTTTGGGGGTGGATTTATAAAGATGACAGTGTGTAATGCCTGCAACAAACATGGATAGATTCTTTTCCAAAGCTGTTCAAAAAGTTCCTATGTCTTTGTCAAGAATTCTTGCTGTGCATTGGCTATGCACGCCTTTAAACCAGGCGGCAAAGGCTGGGATCTCTGTGAGTCCAAGGACAGCCTGTTGTACAGAATGAGTTTCAGGACAGCCAGGGCTACACAGAGAAACCCTGTCTCGAAAGGGAAGATGAGGAAGAGTAGGAGGAGACTTCATCGTTTTCAGTGTATATAGAAGTATCTAAAGATGGTCTTAGTTTTCCTTCGCCTGATGGCTGAAGAGGTTTCTACATGTTTTCAGATGCTTAGTTGCCATTTAAATATCATAATATGAAATACCCAAGTCTTCTGCCCATTTTCCCCTGAGATTTTTTTTCTTATTTGATCTTTAGTAGTTTGGGCTTATTGTTTTCATTTTTTAAAAATGTGCTAGATATACTTTGTTGGTTACATGCATTGCTAATACCTCCCCATATATTGCAAATACCTTCTCTCATATTTTATACTTGCCTTTTAATAAATGCGCTCTTCATTTTAATGGAGTAGAATTCGTTTATATTTTTTTCTCCTTCATTGTTGGTATTTTTGTGTCCTGTTTAAGAAGGCTCTGCCTAACCTCCCACTCTTTTGGCTTTGATAATTAGGGAAGTTTCATGAGAGAGCCCTGTCCATAAAATGCCCAATAAACAGATTTCCCCTCCTCCTTCCCCTCTCTCTCCTAATGTGGCCATTATTTCTCCTGACCCCAAGCACTCCTGCCCCTAACGGTGCTCCTGGGTCTGCCTTGCCTCGGGACCACGTGTCTGAACATGGCTGCAAGAGTCTGGAGGAACTCTTAGTGAAAGTGCAAGGAATCAAACATTTAATGAGGTGCAGTCGTCTTTATGGGAGCAGCTGTGCCGCTCTCCAGATTCTCATCTTTTTACCGGTCCACGGAGAGGTAAACAGTAACGGGAACCCGCAGGCTTTTCTGGACCCACGTGTGCAGGATCCCGCTTCAGTCACCGGCCAGTTTGAAGGCTCAGACCAGCTCCCTCACACTTGAAGAGTGAGAAGATGTGAGCTTTCCTTAGGCTGTTGTAAGAGCCTTCCACCCCTCCCTCTGCTGCTTTTCTTCCTTTCTCCTTCATTTTTGTCCCTCCAGTCTCTACACATTTCTTTACTTGAGACTCACAGTTGCACATCTGTTCTGTGCAGATGCTTGATATGGCTTGGAACAGCAGGCTTCTAAAGTGAGCACAGCACACCCTCTACAAACCTCACTGTCACCTCACTGTGCCATGCTGCAGGGGATCCCTCGTGTTGCCTGAGGGCCACCAGCTGTCCAGTGGCCACACAGTGAGGTGTACGGTCTTCCATCAGAGCTCAAGCTTCTTAGCCTCGATTGGGTCTGGCATCCTGGAAGTGCTGTGTCTTTAAAAAGTGCCTTAGGAACATCTGCTTCCAATTTTCAGACCATGATCATGGTGAGGATTTGGGTGCAAGTAGTTTATGTGGGAAGCGATCCCAGGCAATACTATGAGGGGCCATCTACAGGGAGAGAAGTGTGGAAAGGTACACTGATGGGTTAACTCACCAACATCCTTGGGCAATGGGACTGTCCCGCTGGGACCCCTGAGCAACATGTAGAATAGCTCAGAATCCCTCTCCCAGTGGAACAGGCTCAGCCAGCCCCATCTCTATGGTTGATGGTCCTGTCTGCTCACAACTCCCCTGGGGAAGAAGAATAACTGTGCCTGCCTTGGTAACTTTGATAATCCGTCTCATTCTGAACACTCTGTCAATGTCCAAATGTCTTATTAATTACAGTTGGGAGTCTGTCTTTTTAGGTGCCCATTCCTGTTAGTAGAATTGCTGTAATACTGTTTGTGAGTGTTCCAAGTTTTGCTAGGTAAAATACTGTAAGAATTTATGCCCAGCTCAGCAGAGGGATAAGCCAGGCTGGGGGAATAGCAGGCCACCTCTGCACCCATGAGAGGTGCTTAAGCCCTACCTTGCTCACCGTCCAACACACTCGCCTGGGACCCTCGCCACGGAGCTGCCTCTAGTGAAGTTAGGCTAGGACTGTCTCTTGGATGCTTTGTCAGCCCATGGCCATCTGCTTCATCCCTAGCACTAAATGGAAGGGATCTATTTAACTAGCCAGCCCTGGGAGGCACCTCCCAGAATTCCGTGAGTTTGGAACTCCTGAACTCAGTCCCGTGAGACAAACCCTCCAAGGAGTAAATGCAAGAATTCCACTTCGCCTAAGAAGAAGCCAGTCCACATTTTAAATTTCCAGACTCGGCCCTCCTTTCTCCCCATGTGTTTCAAATCCCACATCTGAATGGTAATTGTTCCACGGCTTGACCCCAGCTGTGACCTGCATCTGGGCGTGCTCTTGAGGCACTCACGGTTGCTTCTTTTGTCCCACAGCATCTGATGTGTGCTGGGCTGTGGTGCCTGGTAGAGGGCGACACATCCTGCAAGACCAAGCTGGACCCTCCCCTGGATGGCACGGAGTGTGGGGCGGACAAGGTAACACCCAGGGTCTAGCAGTCCTGGCAGGCAGCCTCACACCTCCTGGACACGGGAGCCTCCCTCCTCGGGGAAGGCAGTGTGCACTCTGCTTAGGATCCTCAGCAACAGCCCTGGACACAGTAGTAACGCCAGTGGGGGCCACTGCTCGCACATGTGTCTACAGCACCCTGGTTTCTTACAAATCCGGAAGGATCAATTGCTTTCTCGATTTTTTTTTATTATTAAATGAACTCTTTTTGTCACACAAGTGAATTTTTTTTTTTTTTTGGTTTTTACGAGACAGGGTTTCTCTGTATTATTTTGGAGGCTGTCGATCCAGCCTAGCCTCGAACTCACAGAGATCCACCTGCCTCTGCCTCCCAAGTGCTGGGATTAAAGGTGTGCGCCACCATTTCCAGGCTGTGAATTTTCTTAAAGGGAAGGTTTTTAATGAATCGGTATTAAACAGAAAGCCAGTTCTCTTGCCTTACATGGATGAGAATCACGTTGTCAGATTCTATTTAAATTTCAGACCATGAGCTGGTCCTTATGAAGGGGGAGGGGACTACATGGGCTTGAGGGGAGGTAGGGGGAGCCTGCAGCCCCTCAACTTTCTCTTTAGTCTTCCTTGCAAGCCTTGGTCGGTTTGTTGTTTCCTCTTCCCTCCTCCCCCTTCTGCTCCTCCTAGTCCTCCGTGCTCCCTCCTCCCAACCCCCTCCTCCTCTTCTCCTTTTCATTCCCTCTTCCCCTCCTCCACCCTTCTCCTCTCCTCCACACCTTCCTGTCTTTTCCTTCTGCTCTTTTTTTTTTTTTTTTTGTCCCTCTTGAGATAGAGCCTCTGTTTATAGCTCAGGCTGCCCCTGGAATATGCTGTATAGCCCAGGCTGGCCTTCACCTCACAAATGCTGGAGTTTCAGGCCCTTTACCACCATGCCTGGGTTACTGTAAGTCTTGAAAGAGCTTTGTAAAAGAAGGATGTCGTGTTTGTTCTGATGCTATGCTCGGGGAAGCGCTGGGTCACACACTCTGTGAAATCTGATTTTGAGAATGACTTTCTTTATTCTCAGAAGGAACCAAGGTGCATCTATCAACCCACAGCTATCCCACCACCACCAGCAGCACCAATCTGACTAGCCCAGGCTGGCTTCCCATGTGTGGTGCTCCTCCTGTCTCAGTGTCCCACGGGCTGGTTTTAGAAGCATGACCACACCTGGCTTTGTCATTTCTAAGAACTAAACGCAACCCTGAAACCCTGGCCTCAGATCCTGTAAACGTTGTCTTCTGGAGAGAAATACACATGCATTATTCATCGTTTACACACCCTCGTTCTGTTCTCACGCCACGTGGGTCAGTCCTCTTCCTGAGAACTTAGAAAGTCTCTGTAGAGCACATTTCCTGGATAAAGTGATGGCACGCTCCAAACACCAGGGACATTACCAGGCACCAAAGCTGGCCAAGCAGCGTTAGCAAGCGTGCACGCCCTGAAACACTGCACTTCCAGGGAAATGTCAAAATGCATTTTGACACCAAGGGGGAATCAGTCCTTTGGGGCACACGTGGCTTTGCTGAGTGTGGCCTTTGTGTGTTTCAGTGGTGCCGGGCTGGAGAGTGTGTGAGCAAGACGCCCATCCCAGAACATGTGGACGGGGACTGGAGTCCATGGGGCACCTGGAGCATGTGCAGCAGGACGTGTGGGACAGGAGCAAGATTTCGGCAGAGAAAATGTGACAACCCCCCGTAAGTTTCCCCTCACACCCCGCTGCAAGGGGCATCCCATCCTGCGGTTCTTTCCCTATAATGCCAGGAACTGTATTATAAAGACAAACAGGGTAGACTAAGGTCGAATTTGAGGGCCTTGAGTATGGTGTGTCATCTTTGCTGGAGCTTTCTCTGAGCATGGGGACACAGTAGAGTCCCAGGGCAAGTTGGCTCCATTATTCCTTGCTTGGCTTTGGTATAAAGACTCCCTGAGACAGACAGATGACAATCTGTCTAGCCTGTGTCATGGTCTACTTAGATGAGGGCCATTCTCAGAAAGCCTGGAGACCTTCCAAAAGGGGAGGCTGACCTTCGACTCTCTGCTTGAAGATTTGGGAGTAGGCTGAGCATCTGTCTATGGATTCAGTGTTCAGCTAAACTGTTTTCAATTCTTCTTCTAAATCTACTTGGCAGAGGAAAAAAAACTGATGTGTTTTTCTAAATCGCTTTTTATGGACTATGATATACCAAGACCCCTCCTGTTCACCCCAGGACATTTGCTCTGGAAAACTCGGGGATAGATTTTTATGCTCTATTATAATAATTACATCCCCACGGGTTTTCTCCTTCTCAGAGCTTTCCCAATTTTAAACGTTCCCTCTGACCATCTGCTTTCTCTCTGGAATGTCCTTAGTCAGACCCCATCTGTTTGGAGAGTGAGCAAATGATAAATTGTGTCTAAACATGAAATGATTTTCCACAGCAAAGTCATGATGATGACTAATTAGCAGACACCTCTTGTTTGCAAAAACTCCCTTTACCCAGGATGCATAGTTAAATCATGGGGGTGGGCCACGCGAAGTTGATGCCTTAACTGTCCAGGTGATGCCAACCAAGGCTGGAAACCCTCTTCATAAGGAGAGCTGACATACATAGTTTATTGGGTGGCTGTCACATGGTATTTTTCAGTTGTTCTGTAACAAATAGCATTGTGCAAAGTGTCTTTTTCAATTCAGATGCAGCTGAGTGTCTGGTACACAGTAGGTGTTTAATGTGTTAGGAATGGCTTTCTTAACTGAAAGCCTGGGTGACATCTTACTAGTGACGGAGATGATTAAAAACTTTCACCTGAGTGGTGGGAAATGATTGGAGGGTGGGCTATTTTTTTTAGCATGGCTCAGTTGAAATAATGTCTTGGGCTCTGAAAGGAGACGTGTGGGTTTGGATTCATAGAACTGAGGTTTGGGCCCCAGCTGTCGTGGCCATTGGCCTTTGACCTCAAGGAAGACTCTTCGGTTCCCTAGGCCTTAGTTTCCCCTATGAGAGGCCACTGGCATGTAAGAGGAGGAAGAGCCAAATGTGAAAACTGGAACAGACCGGTCTTCAAGTCCAAGCATGCTCCTTACCCCACAGCACCTGGCAGTTTTCACTGTCCCACCTGCTAAAAATTGTAAAAACGTGTGGGGATGCTGATACAAGTGTGACATTTCATATGTGGTCCTTACCATCAGCTCTAGCAGAAGGACCGGGAAGGAGCTACCTGCCTTGTCCTTGTACCTCACAGAGCTGCGTTACAGCTCAGCACAGGGAGGGAAGGGCTTGTGTGAGGTGGGGAAGGCTGTTGGAGGTGCTCCATTTTAGAGCTCATGGACACTGGCCTTCTTCAGCTTATCACAAATGTCTACTCGTATCAGGTGGTACCCTGTAAGCATCACACGGAGCCTCTAAATGCTCCCCTTCCCCTCCGTCCTGACAAGCCGGGAAGTTTGGTTTGTTTGGGTGACAGCTCACCTCTCACGAAGTTCCCAGTACTGGGAAAAATGGACGAGGCAGTCACTGTTTTAAGAGACCAGTGTTGTCCTTTGTCTTGCTGTGGTATTGGCTAAGATACCCTGAAGGAGACAACCTGCAAAGGACACTTTCCAAAGCTGTGTGTGGCTTCCTACCTGGGCTGGCTCCCTGTCATAAACCTAGCTGCAGCTTGGCCTATTACCCTGAGATACCCAGAGGGCATTCATTGTGCAAGATAGTCTCCTTAAGACTCCCAAGTTCTTAAAATTGTGTTGCTGTACCCTCTCTGGCTGGCCCTGCTTCTTGTAGCCAGACTCTAGACCCATCCCTCCAGATCCAGTGACCTCAGAAGAGAAAGTGCTTATAATTCTTTTTCTTTCGGTCATCCTCATTATCAACCAGCACCTACCATATCCTACTTGTACCAAGACCCTCATCGCCAGCCCTGAGACCACCATGAAGTCTATCTCTTGTTCACCTGTCTGTGTTTTATCACTGAGGATTAAGAGAATCGAGAAGGCGGCCACACAGGCAAGCTGCAGGCTTGGGGGGTCTTCACACATTGCTGTTAGACAAAGGTGCTCCTTCGTGCCCAGTCTCTGCTGGCCTGATGGCTGTTGGGAGACTGGGGATCAAAGCGTACCAGAAAGAGAAGGCCACTGTTTTTGTCCCTTCCAGGCTTGTCCAGGCCTGTGTTTCTTTTGTTATTGTTGTTATTGTCTTGTTTTTGCTTTTTGTTGTTGTTGTTGTTTTGTTTTTCAAGACAGGGTTTCTCTGTATAGCTTTGGAGCCTGTCCTGGACTAGCTCTAGTAGAACAGACTGGCCTCACAGTCACAGAGACCCCTGCCTCTGCCTCCCGAGTGCTGGGGTTAAAGGATGTGCACCACCACCAGATGCTTTTTCAACAGGATGCATTGAGTCTAAAGAATCCTGGGCATGGGTTTACAGCAATGAGCAATGACAGATAAAACCCTGCCCGCCCTCCCAGATTGCCGCTGCCCTTGTAAGCTACACTCTCCTCCCTGCTCTCTTCTACCTCTCCATATATATCAACTCCATTACTGCCTTGCTTAAGGGCACAGACTACGCCCATGGCTACCCTTTTGTCTCACATACAGCATTTATAGCAAGTCTGGTGAACCGGGGCTTCACAGTTACCATGTATCAATTCCCTAAGGCATTGTGGAATACATGGACTCTGTCAGTAATTAGCCGGGCAGTCCTGCGGGAGAGGCTTCCTTTTTATCCCCACTGCCCAGATGCATAACTGAGTTCTTAGATGACATGCCCAAGGTCATCCAGGTAGGTAGTAACCAATTGGAATAGGGAGTTCAAAAAAAAAAAATCAAAATCAAGGGCATCCACGTGGTTGGTTCCTCCTTGAATGCCTGAAAGAGGATGTGTCCCCTGTATTTGTCCTAACTTCCAGTGGCTCTGGTGGCCTTTGTCCTCCCTGGCTTACAGACTGTCTGCCTGCCCTTTCACCTGGTCTCTGTACCCTCTCTTCTCCTGGAAGGACTCTTACCATCGGATTTCAGGCCGTGTAGCCTGAGATGTTCTCACCTGAGATCGTGATGTACATCTCCTACTACCCTTTTTTCTTTTTCTGAATGAAGTCCCTTTCTCATGCTCCAGGCCGGCGTATCTCAGGAGACCAGCATGGCCACCATTCAACCTACTCCCACCCTGAAGCATCTTGTCCACTCTTCAGCCACAATGATCCAACCCAGAACCTTCATCAGAACTCTGTCCCGGCCCTAACTTGCCTTTGTTGAGTTCCTCAGAGAAGCCCCTTCCCTGACCACCCTGTTTAAAGTGGGGTGCAGCTTCACTCTGAGCACCCCCAGCATTGCTGCGCCTCTTGTGTCTCAACTTAGTTGATTTTGCTTTGCTCTTATTGCTTTGGGCTTTCTGAAGGCCTGGGGCAGGCTCCACCTTCCCTTCTCTGCCTACAGCAGAGTAGCAGCTCAATAAAATACGCTGGGACATCTCCTTGCTTGTTTTCCGAGGAGACACAATCTTTCTGCCCTTCCCAGACCTCCATAGCATGTTACTAATGTTTCCTTTCCCTTCAGAAACACAGAATTACCAAAACCATCAGGCCAAATAATAGGTCACCAATAAGCCACCTTACCTGTATAGAGTCTTCAATATTCTAAAAAGTCGTGCAGTGTGGTCCACCCTTCCCCTGCAATGCTGTCACTCACAGCCAGAAATACCCAGGAATAAGCCTGAGCATGTCACCCATGCTTTGCCTATTTCAGCTTAGAACATGACCTAGTTTTGGTCCTGTAATATTGTCATCTTGGTCATTAGTCTGATAATTCGCTATGACCATTCAGCTCCATTTCCTGTTGGGAATGGGAACAAGTTACCCTGTCTTCCTGGGAAATGTTCTCCAACAGTCTATCCTATCTTCCTGGAGCCAACCCAGGTAAGGAGAAAAACATAGTCAGACTTTGGGCAGGTGGATTCAAAGCAGCCTTGGTGTTTCCTGAAGCGACTGGCTCAGCAATGCAGGCAGTTAGGGCTTGCAGCGTAGGGCCTGATCTTGAACAGTGCCTATGTGGTGACTGTTACAAAGCACAGCTGATCACGGCCTCTGAGCCAAGTTCTGACCGCAACAACATACTCTCTGTCTCACTCCTTAAATCAGACAGCTTTCTGCCCTGATACTTCAGGAGGCTGGCCAGAGCTCGCTGCTGTGTACAGCTTGGACATGAACCTCTCCCTATGGCTTTCTCTGCACATCCCTGGACCCTTTCCCTCTATTCTGCAGCTGGTTTATTCACTGTCCAAAGATACTGGCAAGAGAGTTCCCCATCACCCCACCCTTTTTTCTGGTCCTGGCTTTTATAGCTATTGGTGTTTTACTTCCCAGTGTACACAGAGGGGGAGCCATCCTTCTTTTGTTTTATTTGTTAATGCTTATTTTCTTTATTTTAAATTTTTTATTTTATGTACATTGGTGTTTTACTTCCCAGTGTACACAGAGGGGGAGCCATCCTTCTTTTGTTTTATTTGTTAATGCTTATTTTCTTTATTTTAAATTTTTTATTTTATGTACATTGGTGTTTTGCCTGTATGTACGTCTCTGTGAGGGTGTCAGAGCCCCAGGAACTGGGCTTACAGACAGCTGTGAGTGCCATGTGGCTGCTGGGAAGTGAACCCAGGTCCTCTGGAAGGAAGAACAGGCAGTGCTCTTAATGTCCACGTTTTTACACCAGCCTCCCAAGTTTGTTCTTTC